TCCTCGAGAGCCTGACGAAGCTGATCTTCGGTATATTGAGGCATTATATATAGAAGAAGACATGTGCAAAAGATGAGCCCATTTGGACGCGAATTGAAAATGTTGTGATAAAAGGAGGTTGGGGGTGGGCATTGGGTTGTGGTGGATTTTCGCGTTTTTGTGGGTGCCAGAAACAGGGGGGTGCCAGGAAGTGGGTATGTTGACTTAATGATATCAGAATCATCTCTAAAGCTGTAGATGCCTAACATGTTTTACAGGTTCAGTCAGGACTTGTCTCACATTGACCGAGATCTTCCTACAGCGTTGTTCATGACCTCAATCGGTGAGTGGCTTGTCCCGGGTATCACCGAGACTACGTAGCTAATCCCTCTCAGCTGTGCTTGATTGCTTGGCAGGAGCTGTCCTGATTGTCATTGGTGCCAAATATCTTGCAGCTGTCATCCCGTTCGCCTTGCCCGCTCTCTACTGCCTACAGGCTTTCTACCTCAGAACTTCTCGCCAGATGCGATTCCTCGATCTTCAGGCGCAGGCTCCTCTTCTTACCAAGTTGATCGAGACCATCGATGGCCTGTCAACCATCCGCGCCTTCGGCTGGCAAACTGCCTTCCGAGAAACTTCACTTGAACTCTTGGATGAATCCCAACGGCCGTACTACCTGATGTTTTGCATCCAGCGCTGGCTCACTCTGGTTCTCGACATTCTTGTCGGTGCTATTGCAGTATTGCTGGTCTCAATGGCCATGATGATACCGGACGCTACTAGCACCGGAGCCATTGCCATTGCGCTCTACAATGTGCTCAACTTCAACCAATCTCTGGCAACTCTGATTACCTCTTGGACAGAGCTCGAAACATCCCTAGGAGCAATCTCGCGTTTGCGAACCTTCGTATCTCGAACACCAATCGAACCAACGGCTGAAGTGCTTGACAAAATCCCACGCCAATGGCCTGCACAGGGCCAGGTCGAGATACAGAATATCACGGTATCTTACTCCGCGGAAACGAGACCGGTACTCAAGGGAGTTTCGCTATCTATCCAGCCAGGAGAGAAGGTTGCCATCTGCGGGCGTACAGGCAGTGGCAAATCGACCCTCACTCTCTCTATCTTCAAACTTCTTGGCCTCGATGCAGGGAAAATCGTGATCGATGGTGTTGACATTGGCAGTGTTCCAAACGATGTGCTCCGCCGATCACTCATCGCCATCCCGCAGGAGCCGCTCCTCTTGCCCGGAAGCCTGCGCACGAATCTGTTCCCCTTTAGCGACGACACAACCGCAGGCGAGGCGCCGTCCGATGCTGACCTCATAGATGCCCTGACCACGGTCTCACTATGGTCAGCCATCTCCTTGAGTGGTGGTCTCGACACAGATGTTTCCAACCTACCACTGTCCAAGGGCCAAAAGCAGCTGTTGTGTCTAGCCCGGGCTATAGTCAGGAAGAATTCTAGCAAGGTCCTGGTTCTTGATGAAGCTACCAGTGCCGTCGATCAAGAAACCGAAGACATGATGGCTAGGATTATCGAGAGCGAGTTCTTTGATCATACTATCATATCTGTGGTTCATCGTCCTCAGGCCCTCCGTGGCATTGATAAGATTGTCACCTTGCAGGACGGCCGAGTAGTAAGCGTGGGGTCTGCAGAGAACTAGTAATAACGCGGGCTTTAGAATGCAGTAGCGGGAAAGATATATCTAGACAATATCAATGACAAATAGGATAAGTTTGGATCCCGGTTGTTCATTGTTTTTGTCTTGGCTAATATGAAAAACCTGGCGGTCAGCTGTTGGTTCTCACCGTGGGCTCATAGGCCTGGTTCCCTGTGTATTATACTGTAATTTCCAGAACGGAACTCCTTGGTATTGCGTCTTCGCCACGATCCGCCGGGTGGCTATCCGCCCTGCGATGCCACCAAGGCTTTACTTCGCATTGGCCATTATGATGAGAACCAGGATGTGCAAGGGGGTCTTCAACGTCGATCGCTTTTCTGTTGCCGCAGTTGAGGTTTGCTGGTTGCGTCAAAGTTGCCGAGGATCTTAATCTGACATGCGTGAAGATGACTTGAAGTCTAAGAAATGGCGTTACTTTTTCACATAACTACACAATAACGCCTTCGGAATCTCTTTCATTCGACCCATGTACCTTGATAAGTGGCTAATATCATGCGTACTTGCACACTGATAGCCTATCATCTATATTGCGTTTCGTGTGATCCGAAGTCTCATTGCTTAGTGCTGTACTCCACCGTGATTGTCTTCGTCTGGACAATATTGTTTCCTCGAATGATCGCTTTCTCTGATGAATCATCCTCTGTCGGATCACCCTCAGTATGACCAGTCGCGATAGTAGCTGGGTTATTGGACCCCATGCTGGCCATCACAAATGCCTCGCCATTGTTGTCGCGATCAAATTGCGAATACTCGGCTCTATTCCGCGTCCCATTTGTACCACCGATAGTCATTCGTGATATGGGCTTGCTCCCAGTACCACCGACAGTCTTGGTTCCCTTGCCATATGTGCTTTCGCCGATGATCTTGGGTGCGACGTGTCGGAAAAACTTGCGTAAGGTCGGCAGAGAGGCGCAAATTACGACTAGGTTCGCTTCAACGATACTGAAAGATCGATTTGTCAGAAAATACAGCCACGGATATTGGGGATAGGATCAAAGGAGGCCGAGCTTCACTTACATCCACAAACTGGCCCATGAGATGACCCAGCTTTGGTCCATGCTTGTAAGCATGGCTGGAAGGAGAGAAACGCGGACGATCGAAGTGACGACTGTACTGCACGTCTTGTTAGCTTCGCCAGAGTCTCGCTACGTGTACCATCATCTTGAAGAAGAGTGGCGATGCTAACTTACAGTGACCCAACTGCGAAAATGAAGAACAGCCCAACTTTCTGCCTACGCGGAATCTGTAGCTTCACAACGATGGGTATCGGAAGCGCGAAAAGTATCAAGTCCGAGATGATGTTTGCCGCGGCAGTCGCAATGTATAGTGATGGTCGGTTGATGCATGCGCCTTCCGTGATGGTAACGTCCCAGCTCATTGCGATTGGATCACAGGCGAATACTAGAGCAAAGAAGATGCCGATACTGTAACCGGCAATGATCGCAAGAGAAATCCACACAGCTCGTTTGAACCATCTCTGAGGTGATAGTCGGAAGTAAAATATCAAGAGGGAGACTTTGGCGAAACTTCCACAGAGAGTATAGATGGCGGCGGCGAGGAAAACATCCTGCGTTGACGATTACGTTAGTACACCGGGCTCGTAAAAGAACATCCTAGTCTCCAAAGACGGAATGAACAGACAGTGAGATCCGGTCCCACTTACCATCATGTATATGTTGTACTTTTCGATAGAGATCTCCCATCCGTGGACACCTCCAGACCCATATGCAAACATATCTACCGAGGGCTTGTCAGCAACAACCTAGCCGCCCATCTCAGCTTGGCATTTTCACTCACGAACACATAATCCAATGGTAGCGATAGAGGTGAACTATAATACAGTCAGCGATACTGGTCTCAACAAGTTGACCAAGCTTGTCAGCGTTGTGTGGCTGGGCTTGAGGCTGCACGTTGCTGCAAGTCGCGACCCGGTGTCCGAGATACTGGGACTTACCCAAGCCAGAAGAAGAAAGACTGCCAAGACCAAGCGTTAGTCCACGCAGCTTGCCAAGTCGCTGCTTAAGATATGATGAAAGTCAAGTAGTGACGATACAGGATAGTGTAGGAAAGGAATCTCATGGTGCTGTTTGTTGGGTATTCTTACCATCGTCCCACTGCAATCGACCGATCAAGAAGGCTTTCGTGTACAGCCTTTGCGCCATGAGCAAAACACTGAGAAGTGTACCAAATCCAGCTACATAGTAAGCTTCGGGTACAGCCTGCCGCTGTGGGTTGTCGAAATTGACCACATAGCCTTCAGGAGGCGGAAGAACAGTGACAACGCCCTTCACTACTGGCATGGCTTGGATACTACAAGTCGGATGTCCAAGCTGCTGATTCCGTGCTGATGCTTGCGGTGAAATGTGTCACTCAACAAAGTCGATCAAGTGGCAGGAACACAGTATCATAAGTATGGGGGCGCCCGGTGGCTTAAAGGAGATTACGTCCTTCGGGCGAAAGGTATTTTCGGACGCCATGGTCGTTATGTACCAAACGATACGAGAGCAACCGTGGAAGTATTAGTTTTAGCATGTATTATTCTCGACTCCTTGACACCGACACTCTTTGCACATCGTATCTAGAGTGTGATTCGCAAGCATGTTCACGTCTATGTTAAACCTGAGCTTTGAAGAGCGGAAGAAGGCAGTCCACATCCTCGGCCCCCCGTGCTTCCTGATGCAAAAGGCCCTGTTCTTGTTCCACCGTCCTGCAGTCACAAATTTCTGTTGGAACCAACGCCGTAATACCCTTGACTAGCGGTTGGCCAAGATAATTCTGCGCGATATCACTTCATCCGGCATTCTGGCCCGAAGAACAGCACGTAATTGTCGATGTTTCCACTTTTTACCTGTCGCTCAACAAGCCCGGTCACAGGGATGAATTGTGTTGGAACTAGGGTCTTGTGAAGTTGAGACAAATCCTTCATCCTCTCTTTCGGCGAAATGCACGAGAGAATTTAGCAACCGCGTGGCGGAACCGACGACCAGTTCGTTTGATTACCTATCTCGAGGCTCAAATACACTCGCATAAATGCGCCTGGTGCCTGCAGTTCTTGGCTGCAAGAGGCTGCATCTCAATTTAAAATATCTTGGGAGTTATTTGCAGCATTTTTTCTCACTTGCCACTTGTCGGGTCTTGATCTCCGGTCCGACCGCTTTCCGTGCCACTATGTGAAAGGAAGTTGTAGCAATGGCAAGTTCGATCGATGCCTCTTTTGCAAGGTCGCTTGGATGAAGAGGCATAAGATGCTGATAATTCCGGAGAAAGAGGTAGCTTCAGCCTTCCAAATGGACAACGCCGATCAGACTTTGTCCTAGCATACCTTCATCACCTTGCATTGTGGCGCTGTATCTGATAGCACCCGTACCGTCGATGAGCTACCCCGGATGATGGCGGGGGCTAAATCGTTCGATGCGGCATGGCCCCCCGTGATCGGCTCAGTCCGTCGAAGCGTGGGTCAGTAAGCATTTTCATCTGGCCCTGGCCGAGGCGATGTTGGTTGCTCGTTGTTGTCGGCGTAATGCCTGTAAGTTGTCAGGGTTTCCAGAAGGATGGGCTTACGCGGAGGGCACGGAATCGAACCCCAGTGCCCGGTAGCAAGTCAATTTCTTCCCCGACAGCAAGGCCCAGGATCTTGGGTGGGACGACGGAGCTTCGGTGACTGGGATGGTATTCGGTTACTTCCAACAACATCGAGCAACGTTGTGGAAAGACATAGGATGGGAAGAGGGAAGAGAGCAACAGGGGTTGAAATCGCACCAACGATATTCTGTGCTGCCAGACGGGACGGGGGAAAGAAGCATGTTTGCCAAGTCTCCAACGCAAGGATTGCAGCAAACTTAGCCACATGCAATGGATACTACCCACCCTTGCCAGAACTGAAGACTGGACCGATAAATATCACATCGATGACAACTGGACGGTGCAAGCCGTGATGAGGGGCTGTCTTGTTCTACACTACTGCATCACGGCAGTAATGTCCCACCTTCATCTCAGTCCTTCGTTTGTCCAGGCCCTTTCATGGACCAATATTCCATTTCGGGCTTCTTGCGGTCCACCGTGCTGGATTGCAGCTCCGAGGTTGCTTCAGAACAGGGTAATATAAGGACAAGCTGACGGCTTATCATAGAAAGTCTGCCTTCGTGTTCACATCTGTCAGTGCAACCCACTCCCGTTGGTCTTTTTTCACAAGTCGCTCCTTGGCTCTGGTGTCGGCCTTGCCACCAGAATTCTCCCGTCCGTCCTATTAACTGACCGTCGCATTTCAATCCTTTCCAGCCTCCATGATGAAGTCTACCATCATGGCAATGAGCACTGCAGCAGCTTTGTTCGAAATCGCGTCTGCTGCGACTTGCTACTCACAGTCAACGGCATGCGTGAGTTCCCTTAGCTAGAGACACACCTCCGTCGTAAAAATTCAAACATGTTACTGACTTTGACCAGTGCTTGAAATTGAACAAGGCCCCAGGACTCGCTGGCAAGATCTACTTCCCCAACTCCACCGAGTATGTGGAACGTATGGACTCGTACTGGTCCATCACCGCTGCCCTGGACCCTTGGTGTGTCGCACAGCCCTCAACAGCCGAGGATGTCTCGACCATCATCACCACCCTCGCTGCGTCTAACTGCACATTCGGCGTTCGCGGCGGTGGCCATGGCTCCTTCGCTGGATCCAACAGTGTCAACGATGGTGTCACCATTGACTTTGGCTTCTTCAACAGCACCACCTACAACCCAGACACCAAGATCGCCTCCATTGGACCCGGCGGTCACTGGCAGACTGTCTACGACACTCTTGCCCCGTATGGAGTTGTCGTCACGGGTGGCCGTGCTGGCACCGTCGGAACTGGAGGCTTCATTCTCGGCGGCGGCAACTCTTTCCACTCGGCGTCTCATGGTTTCGCATGTGACCAAGTTGCCAACTTTGAGGTGGTCCTTGCTGATGGATCCATCGTTAATGCCAATGCCACTTCCAACCCTGATCTGTGGCAAGGCCTCAAAGGAACCGGCGCCAACCTTGGTCTTGTCACACGCTTCGACATGTACGCAATTGACTTTCCCGACTCAACAAAGCCGGTAGTCTGGGGAGGCAACCTCATCTACGACTTGGAGTCCGGGCCCAAAGTCATCGATGCCCTCGTTGAGTTCACGGAGAACGTCCACAAGGACGAGAACAGCTCTTCCATCGTCTACTGGGCGTACCTCCCCCAGCTCGGCGGTATGATCCTCAACGCCGCTATCGAGAACACCTTGGCCGAGGTTGCGCCCCCTGCCTTTGACGCTTACTATGCGGCTGGCAACATTACCCAGGACACTACCAAGGTCGACTTGATTTCCATCGTCGCAAACGAACTCGGTTCCGGTCAGCCCGCCGGCTTCCGCAACGCCTGGTTCACGCTCGCATTCGACAACGATGCTCGGATCATGAACTACGCCGTCGAGAAGTTCTACACCCTGAACGCGGATCTCGAGAAGGCCGTCGGTGCTGACTCAGGCTTCAACACCCTCTGCATGTTCCAGCCCATCACCAAGTCCATCGTCGACAAGGGCATCGCCATGGGTGGGAACAGCATGGGGCTGGACCACTACATCACCAGAGGCAACGGCATTATGTTCCTCATTACCTTCGCCGTCAACGGAGCTGAGAATGAAACCATTTCCTTCCCGTACATCCAGGCTTACACAGAGGACGTCGAGGCTTTTGCTGCGTCTTTGGACTTGAACTGGGGTTGGATCTTCCTCAACTATGCCCACAAGGTACAAGATGTTATCTCGTCGTACGGAGAGGCTTCCATCGAGAGGCTGAGGGCCGCTTCTACCAAGTACGATCCTACTGGTGTTTTCCAAAACCTTCGTCACTCAGGCTTCAAGATTCCCTTCTAGATTTCCGGTGTAACAGTTGGCGAGAGAGAGAGAGCCTCCAGCATCAGAGATCGTCGATCTACTTGGCACCTTAATGAAGAAGGTCATTATCACATAGACTCATAATATTAGAAAACACACCCTCCCACTTTGGCGACCGTCTACACTCCGTGCTAAATCTACGTGCTCAAATTCCCAATCGTCCTGACACTTCATTGGGAATTTTGATAACACTCAGTATGGAAGAGTTAGAACAAGTGACTAGGTAGTTGGTGTTAAATTCACAACCGCTAGAAGGAACGCTACGTTTGCTATGTACTCTATGCAGAAAGCGACCTCTATCGACCAAATCCGACTATCAACAGTTGCAGCCACCGCTCAAGGCCAAACACGGCAGCCAAGTGCAAGACTCCCAGAAAGATCCATCACCCGCCACGCAAGTACAGCAGTAGCAACCAGCGCAACAACAATCTGGACCCAGGCTGCCGCCCACATTGGCACCACTCCTCAAAGGATCCATCTGTTTTCCAGCCTCATACGCGCCATACACGATTCCGGCTCCCGCTCCCGTGGCAGCGACACCCCATAGCCCGTTCTGCATCGAATTCTGGAACCCCTTGACGGCCTTGTCCGGAGTGATCTCGGTGAGTCTGTGAGTTGGCGTCTCAAGACTTTCCTTGAACCAGTCATAGTCTAGTGCACATCCTTCAGGCGTCTTGATGATGCTGCCAAACCTCTTGAGCAGCTCCCGGCAGTCGTTGTATCCCAGATCTTTAGCGGGAATGGATGAGCGCGCGGCAGCCCATTCGGTGTTGACTTCGTCTTTCGTCAAAGTCGTCCAGCCGATCTGACAAACGGTGTAGTCACGGGTGTGATAGCCCTTGGACGGTGTCGAAAGCTGAAGTGCTCTGAGCTTATTCGTCTCTTCCTTTAAGGACCATGCAGCCACCCTCGCTTCATACACCCGAGCAGGCTCGAAAGAACTGGTCTTTTCGCTCTCTGCCACCTTGTCCTTCGGCTTCGGGACACTGCCATTCGGTAGGCGGAGCTCGTATTTCTGGCCGTGCGTGATGATGGCCCAATGTAAAAGACACCCGTCGTCGACGCGGCGAGAGTACCACACTTGTTCGCCCTTGGTCGTGTCCTGTCCCTGCTTGCCGCGAAGGTTCACTTCCTCTTTCAACCTCTTCCTATCTTCTTCTTGTTCCTCTCTGGCCCTTAGGACCTCCGAATTCTTGAACATTGTATAACGAATTCGAGTCTCGTGTAGAGTTATCGAGGCGTGTGGCGTAATGGTCTGTAAGAATTTGACGACGATAACCTCACAAATTGAGTCGGAACGTATGGCAACTTTCGCTCAATAGACATCGGCATGTTACACTCCATAAAATAAACGTGGGATCCTGGTTATCAATGCTTATCAATGCTTCAACGAAGCCGCTGACGGCATGAGCTGCAGCAGTGCGGCGTGTCCAGACATCGCTGCGTGGGCTGCGCGGACTGCGCCGCAGATAGCTGCCAAGTCTTCCCCATCTCATAGGGCAGTTCGCTCTCACGCATTCTCGGATTGACCAATGTCAGCCTACTACCAATGGGATGTTTTTGAGGAGGGTCTTTTGTGTCTCTCTTTACTACATGCAGGGAGGCGCACCGCCTAAATGGACGACGAATATGACATCACCCCCCAGTCACGGGAAGATCTTCCCTGCATCGCCTCTGCTAAGCTTTCGGGCGGTTAATGTGGGGCAGTCTAATACCGGTCTCCTTCCTCCATCAGATCAGTGAAAGACTAAACGATACTTCATATGTGCACGGGAGACACGTCGAACTACATGTAAGTTTCGCGTGCCACTCGGCAGAGGTGATGGGCCATCCTTGGCGCGTGGTAATTTCGCCTTCTTGGTGGCTGGTGCCATCGGAAGACTTGCTCCCTCCAGTCCTGATGATATCTGTGCTCACTGCGCGCGGTCCTTTTGTCGTACCCTAGTTAGACCCAAGCATGCAAGCAAAGTACACAAATTTGACATGAAATACTGACAGCAATTGTTACTGAATGATGAGCATGTAAGCTACCTAGATGTTTAAGCAGCTGTGCTCCCCACGACCTGCCGGAAGAGCTTCGTACTGCCCTTCCGCCTATGGTATGCCTTTCGACGCCTACTATTCGATCCTTACTATTCTGGAAAGCATACTTAGTGGATGGTCGGTCTCAAGTCACTGGCGACAGGACATTCCGTCTCTTCATTGGCCATCTTCTTAGTCTTTTCAAAAGAATTCATCAATCGGTCGACACTCAAGTGGGTAACAAAATAAGATGCCAGTCAAGATGAGAACGCCTACCTACCTGCTTATTATACCTAACGTTCTTATTCTTCTTATCCCCTTTATTATTCTTATTACTATTATCATCATTTTTTATATGTTTATTAAAGAAGACTCTTTAAAAGAGACGAATGAGAATAAGGACAACAGGAATAGGGATAATAAAAATGGAAACAATAAGGATATAAATAATAAAAAGAGAAATAATAAGTAAGAGCTAGGGAGGGTACTAAAAGAGCGGCAAGCGATTTTATCACCCGCTTAATACTTTAAATCTACCTCTGTCTTTATCTAACTCTCATCAATAGCGTGCAGCGATAGGTCGTAACCCGTTGATGAAGAAATAGGCCTATACAACACTGGTAAACTAACAACCTAGCCATTGCTCAAAGGAAGCCAGCTGAGAAAAAACTTGACTTTCCGAAGCCTTAAAGTACCCTTGCGATTCAACGAAACATCGAAGCAAGGTGTCGCAAAAAACCCACAACACACCAATCTCGTTCTCAACTCATAAAGGTCTAACGCACCACTGCAAGACCCGACTTTATCCTCTTTCACGCGTCAAAGCTAAGCTCTGAGAATAGAATTGCGCAACTCACGAGCGCGGAGCTGCAGCCTCATGCACCTGCTGCCGGAAAACGCGGCATGCAGCAACGAGCCGCGACTAAGATCGCTGTTACCCAGCCGAGACTCCACATTCAACTAATGGCAACATGGCCGAGTGGTCCAAGGCGATAGACTTGAATTGTTCACGATTCAGACATCTATTATCTTCGGATGCGCAGGTTCGAACCCTGCTGTTGTCGCAAATGTTTTTGCTTGGCAGGCTTTCAGGATTTCTTTGCATCTTTGGCCAGTACAGTTGGGCGAGGATACATGCATGGATGGCCAGTTGTTGTGGTTATGGCTTGGCATATCTGAGAAGAAGTGTGGACCTGGGTATGGAGTTCATGTTGGACATCAATAGAGCAGCAATCTCATCAAGTACCTGTATCATTACAAAAGCCTCAAGTCGTTGCCGAATGTCAATAGATGTCTTGACTATGGCTTCGACAAAGTGTACGAAGCAATTGATGATATATTGTAGTTAAGTGCGTAGCTAGCGTGAAATAAATCTGACCTGACCTGGCACTCTTCCCAAAGCAGGAGGAGTGCATTTTGGTATTGAACATTAGAACCACGATGCAGAAAACTCCCCGCTTCCAGGTTCGTCACCTTGACAGACAACAGCAAAAGTTAGCCCACAGGGTTCTCAAAGCAAGTGGCCACGGGGTAAAGGAACCCAGAAAACATACCACGATCAGCAGCCATCCGGCCGTTCAGAAAGGCACTGGTCCATGCAATGATTGCCCACAATAGCACCATACACCTTGCCAGAGACGTAGCTGCGCATGATGTCACGGCAGTTATCGTACACAATCTCCGCGGCGGGCACGAGCTCCGCGACGGGCGTCGGCTTGTCAATGAAGGCGGTCCAGCTGACGCAGCACCGCGCCGTCTCGATCTCGAGACAGTAGTCCTGAGGGGTACCGCGGATCATGTCGTTGGCCTTGTCCGTCTTGAGGACCTTGATGAGGCGATAGCAGATGCTGGCCATGGCCTGGTGGGCCTTGTCGCAGACGAGCTCGTTCTCGCCGCACATGGCGGACGACGGCTCGCCGGCGTCGTCGTTCTTGGCGACGGTGTTGTCCTCGCCGTTGGCGGCGGGAGTCTGGGTGATGGTGATGTCGGTGTAGTTCTTGCGGCCCCAGACGGAGAAGGTGCCGATGTCGTTGGTGTAGAGGTCGAGGACGATGCGCGAGGGGAACTCGGCCTCCATGGCGAACACGGCGTCCGCCTTGGGGAGAAGGTGAGGCGGGAGAGCTCTCGCGACCTGCATGTTGGCACTGAGCGCCGTAGTGGCCTCGGGGATAATCATCTTTGGCGACGGTGCACTATCGATGATCAGTTGTCTGTAATTTGCACTCTTTACACTTGGTAAGACTTGATATAACCTTACCTTAAAGGCAAGATTACCTCGACTTGCTTGTGTGAAGGAAAGGCAGTGAAAGAGGGGAAGATAGAGCTGCGAAAGGCAGTCCGTACGCCGCAGGATTTATACACGCCGTAGGAGAGAAAACATGTAATATGTGTACGTGTGCGTGTGGCTGACGAAAAATCCCTACCTAGGAAGTAGACAGCGAAATGAGAGACCGTGTGTGTAGAGCCCTCGAACTAAAGGAGTGCAGGAGAATAGTATCTCAAATGTGGGAAGGACAAAATGCCGTCAAGGTCACGATACTCGAAAAAGCGTATCAACTGGTAGACCACCCTGCTAGAAAGAGAATGGCCCTGCCGCAGACCGGGGCACGGGGGATTGAGTTCTTTTCTAGACAGGCTATGTAGTTGTGGACTCCGAGACCTGCTCAGCAAGGTCCAAGGCAACGAATGATCTATCATGAATAGTAATGCCGGTAATGAGCACTCAATAAGTGACATTGAGTGAGCAATCAAATATTCTCAGTGGCTGCATCCTCTGTAGCAAATACAGAACTCAATGCGTCCTCACCGCAAGGGTCCACGCTCTTTTGCGTCCCTCTTCCCAACAGAGCCTGCCAGCTTCCCACAGCTCGACGGCAGGTGGCTGCATATGTACTTCTTCGTAAGCCCTTGCGTGAACGTCGGCGTCCCTCTGGGATGATGTTAGGTTGAGCTGAGCAGGCCCTCAGGTTCCAGACCGATAAGTTGAGGCTGGAGACTAGAAACGTAGAGGAGGGGTGTAAGTAAGGAAGCATGCCATAAGAGGTAAGTCACCAGAAAGCAGATAGACCGGAACACACGGCCATTAGAGTCACAAAAGTGTGGGAAAACAACAAGGTTTGAGGTCTTGACAAACTTGATTTCACCCAAAGGTCCCTCTCTGCCCGGAGCGGAAGTATCCCTACTCATCCACCAACGCCATTCGCCCAACGTGGGAAGCCACTAGATAAACCACACCAAGCAATCTGCTTTTCGCCCAACGTACAGCGAGGCACACTCCCAAGTCCCAGACCGAATGATCATCAAGATTCCTACGCCAACCACCATCGAATAGCGCCAGCATGACCCTCTCGTTAAGAGAAACAGACAACGGGTTAAAAGGACCATGATACAAGGCGAGGACGCACAGCCTATTTAGTACTACAAGCAGCAGCAAATTCGTGAATGACTGAGGGGTATCGCAACTGCAGACCAATGACCGACCAACTAGCAAAGCAAACAACAGGATTGGTTCACACGCAGAACGGTCACGAACAAGTCAACAACGTGGCGAAAAAGCAAACTAAAAGCTAGGAAATCTCTGTTGGGGGAGTCCCGTGTGGAAGTAAGACGAATAGAAGGGGCAACCAAGTCGCAAAACCATCCGAACCCGACGCCCAAGACAAGCCCAGATGTCCAGAGAGGTAACTAAGGCCGCAAAGCATGCAATCGTCGTTCTCGTGATGTCTCACAATCGTATCCGCTATCCGTATGCCTAACATCAAACAAGTCCAAAGAAATATGTGTCATTCGCCCAGGTATCCATCGTGCAGCGTTAAGAGTCCAAGGCGGCGGCAGCGAACGAAGAACGATGAGAGAAGCTCGAGAAAGGGTGAAACAATAAGACAGTTGAGAGCGCAACTCTCAATATTTCCTCAAGTGCTCAACTTGAGCCCAGAGGCAAGGGGGCCGTCCAGGAGACCCTTGAAACCTTCGATCTACTACAGAGGATGTTAGCCCAGGTGTGTTCTGACACATGACCCATGGATGCTTACCTGAGGAGGGGCACCAGGAGGGCCCTGAGGTCCCGGAGGGCCATGAGGACCCGGCGCACCGAAGTGAGCAGGTCCGTAGGCGCCAGGGCCGGGAGCCGGAGCGAAGTAGTGAGGCGGGGGAGGGGCAGGACGGTAGGGGGTACCAACA